CATCTCATTTTTATTTGTGGAAAAAAATAAATATGGTGTGTACCTTGACTAAAGCCTATCACCCATAAGACCCCTATGGGGGTCAGCATGTTGAAATCTCAAGATCAGTCAAATACTAACCACTTTGTTAGTGGACACTTTGGTTCATGGAGAAAAAAAAAAGAATTACGGTATTTGTATTTTTGCATGATCAAAAGAGATTTGGTGAAGGGAGGTCTTGGAATGCAGAGATCTTTTCTCAGATTACAGATGCAGAGGCAGAGGCAGATGGTGGAATGCGTTTGTGTTATCAGCACAGCAGTGGAAAGAAACACTCTCTTATTAGAGGCTGTTGGTGGAGAAGAAAAGCACCTCTGATCCCTGTGGAACCCCTGTGGGTCGATAAGAGTGGGCTATTTCATCTGGGCTATTTTTAGCTTAATGAAATCAAATACTAAAATGGATATGCCATTCACCACACAATGCTGAAGAAAGCAAACATAAAATTGTTCTACTGTATGTTGAGTGCATTAAATCTAAGAATACAAAAGTCTAAGGTTGTGATGCAAAAAAGCATATAATGAGTGCATTGAGAGTTCTAGCGATCTTTTAAAGAGATGCTGTGGGCAAAACATTCCCAAAGCCAATGATATAAATAGCTGATTTAAAAAGACATGTTACTCTTCAGGAACTCGAGCTGCGTCGGAGAACGCTTTGGGAACGCCCTTCAGCGTGACCAGCTCTGAATCACGTGTGTAATCAGTCCAATGGATGGGCGAGACGTCACAGGTGGGGTGACGTAGATACCAGGAAGCTCAAAAGCACGTGTGGTGAAACTACAAAAGCACTAGACAAAACCAAACACCTCAAGGGCGAGGGCAGGCAGCGTTTCAGGCTGTGTGTTCCTCCCTGTCAGCGTTACATTACGGGTGGGGATACACACAGTTTGTTTGTTGTCTGCTTGGGAGCGCAGCACGCTGAGTCAGCTCTCGAGGGAGCTGCCCGCATTATAAGCATTTGTTACTGCCTTGCTTCGCTCTCAGAGGGCTCTCTTTGAGGAGGGAGCCTTCACTAGCGTTTCTCACGGTGCCGGCCCCGCTTTCGCCGAGGCGGAGCGGCGGCTGTGCTCGTGGGGTTCGCATATGGAGGCGGTGGAGGGAATGTAG